TTGCCAAGTGGTGGCCCTATAACATTACCCTGTGATTCAGCCTTCATGAGTTACATTATTTCACTAATCAAGAGAGGTGTAGCTGCTGGAGATCTTCACAGAGCAGTGCTCCTCTCGATTCCTTCATGCTGCTGTTCCATTTCTTCTATGCACCAAGAGAGTGGAAGCCGACAGCTTCTTGTTTATTGAGTCAAGGACAACATATTTTTTGTAGATGCTAGTTCAAAAATAGTATTTAGACGGAGTACACAATTGTAAAGAACATCATACAGATTGAATACTACTCTATTTGAAAATTTACCATATTCATGGCTTTCACTTTATTTTAAAATTTTAACACAACAGATAGTAACCAACCTTCACTAACTTCAAAGAGCGGTTTCAGATTACAACTATATAATCTAAGGACGAACTCTAGTACTTCAACCTCAGCAGTTAATTATAATTGTTCTAACTACTCTTCAAGAAGTCAATCCTGCTTGTTGTTACAAATCTCACCAACACAACTACTCACTTCAATCTAGAAATTATTACAACTCAATAATAACCTTCGAACAAAAGCCTATTTGACTAGTCCACTTGATCTCCTTGCATGAATGTAGTTCTCTTTTACTCTACTTCGTTGTTGAACCTATTTCTTCAACATATTTGTCTATCATCAAAACTCCTTGAAATTTGAACTTGTATTTTCCATCAATTTCCCCCTTTTTGATGGACAAATACTGAATCCTCAAAATTCATTATCTTCCTAATAGAATATTTCAAATATTATATTTGGTAAAAGAAATATAATTATAAAAACATCTATTTAAAAAAGTTTCCCTCAAGTAAGTGGCATAGAAAATTAAAATAAATAAAGCTTCTTTCTTATTAATTTGCTCTAAAAAATTTAGCAATGGCTTCCCCAAAGTTCTTGTCGATGTCCTTTTTACATCTTCTCTTGTTTCTTGCTATTTGTTTAACAGTCTTCATAATCGCTCTTATGGTGCTTTCAGTCCTTAGCGAGATGAAGAAAGGAAACAATGCAACTAACTTCGAAAAGAAAAGGATCTACCTAGAATACAAACCGATAAATGAGTGGAGCGAGAAACCAATTTATTATGCATGTATCAAAGAATTAAAAGAACATCTTGAAAAGTTGCATAAGAAATTTGATCAATTGAAAACGGAGGTTAATTTTATTTTCATCAAATGTTCATTCATGAAATGTTCTAGTAAATTGATTATTGACTTTATCTGGCCTTTTCTTGCGGTATGAAAAGTTGACAAGCTTTGTCAATTATGTGAAGACATTACCGGATGAAAAGCAAAAGTTTGGACCAAAAATTTCGAGTGAAAAAGGTTGGGTATTATTAAAATAAAGTAATTGTAGTTTTCTCTTTGAAAATTCTAGCTAGTCGTATAGATAGCAATACTTTTATCTTAGATTTAATTATTATCATGTTTTTCTGTACTTTTGACTTTGTTTAAATGTATTGTAATTTTTCTCATGATTTTGTTTAGTCTTTTTAATGTATAAGAATAAGAAGTCAAATAAACCAAAAAGTTAAAATTAATGGCATACCTTTAAAATCAATAGAGACAAATATTTTCTAAATACTAATTTTACAACTAAATCAAATAAATTACAAATTAAAAATTAGTGAATAATTATCAAGTTCAATGGTACAAGTTTTTTCATATTTAGTTCTCACGCAATTGCAAAATCAGATAAAATCTATATATATATATATATATATATATATATATATATATATATATATATATATTACTATATAAAAAAGGGAATAAGTATTCACCACAAGTCAACATGTGTTCCAATAAGAAAAGGGAATAACCAATATATTTATAACAAGAAATGACATATAAAATATTACTATAGAGAGAGTATTAGTTTTTGAAAATGGAAAAGGACAAAACACATATAAAATTAAAAGGCATATAAAAAAAAGTTCGTTTAACTCTCAAACATAAAAAGTAACATATGTTATTAAAAACTTTAATAAAAAGTATTATAATTTACAATAAATAATAACTTAAAATATCTACAAGACAACAAAAAAAAGACTAATTTTTGTACTGCTTCTGTCACATAAATTAGGATTGAGATGATTTTAAAATTTTAATTTTGGTTATACATTATAAAATAGCCGAAAAATTGAATGATATATTTTTTTTTAAAATAACCGAATGAATCATCCTATCGATAACCCTAATGTTACTTCTACTCTGTTTATTTTTACTTAAATTTAGAAAGATATGCTTCATTTCTACCCTCAATCTTATCGCTACATTTATTTGCTATTTAAAATTGAAATTAAAAAGACAAATGACAAATAAGTTTCTATATTAGCTCACTTATGAGCAAAATATATTATAACAATCTTTACTAATTTTATAACAATACATAAACTATACTCCCTCCGTCCCATATTAGATGGGCACTTTCAACTTTACACGGTGATTAAAAAATCATTAATAAATTGGAAGACTTCACCATTTTGCCCTTTGTTTATATCAATGCACATTGAAATGAGTTACAAAAAATACACATACAATATAGGAATGGTCATATTAATTGTAGGGGTAAAATGGAAAAGAATTAATTAATTCTATCCTAATTTAATAAGTGCTCAAATAATATGAAAAAAATATTTTTAGTAAGATTCTATATCTAATATGGGACGGAGAGAGTATTAGTTTTTGAAAATGGAAAAGGACAAAACGCATATAATATTAAAAGACATATAAAAAAAAGTTGGTTTAACTCTCAAACATAAAAAGTAACATATGTTATTAAAAACTTTAATAAAAAGTACTATAATTTACAATAAATAATAACTTAAAATATTTACAAGACAACAAAAAAAAGACTAATTTTTGTACTGCTTCTGTCACATAAATTAGGATTGAGATGATTTTAAAATTTTAATTTTGGTTATACATTATAAAATAGCCGAAAAATTGAATGATATAATTTTTTTTAAAATAACCGAATGAATCGTCCTATCGATAACCCTAATGTTACTTCTACTCTGTTTATTTTTACTTAAATTTAGAAAGATATGATTCATTTCTACCCTCAATCTTATCGCTACATTTATTTGCTATTTAAAATTGAAATTAAAAAGACAAATGACAAATAAGTTTCTATATTAGCTCACTTATGAGCAAAAATATATTATAACAATCTTTACTAATTTTATAATAATACATAAACTATACTCCCTCCGTCCCATATTAGATAGGCACTTCCAACTTTACACGGTGATTAAGAAATCATTAATACATTGGAAGACTTCATCATTTTGCCCTTTGTTTATATCAATGCACATTGAAATGAGTTACAAAAAATACACATACAATATAGGAATGGTCATATTAATTGTAGGGGTAAAATGGAAAAGAATTAATTAATTCTATCTAATTTAATAAGTGCTCAAATAATATGAAAAAAATATTTTTAGTAAGATTCTATATCTAATATGGGACGAAGAGAGTAACAATATAACTTTATTAATGTTAGGCCCGGGCAGCGCCCGGGCTTTCTTTACTAGTATATATATAAAGGTGAATGTGAAAATGGTGATGAGGCACCTCTTAGAAGCCAAGATTCCTATTTATCTATTATTTCAAATATTTAAAAAAAATTCTCATACTAAATACAATATGCTTTATTATATTATATTTCATGTGTATAGCATTAATTGCATCGTATCTATATATATATATATATATATATATATAAAGCTGAATATAGACAATCTGATGTGGCACCTTTCTATGGCCAACATTCCTATTTATCTTTTATCTCCTTTTTTTTCTTGAATTTTTCATCTTTCTTTTCTATTTTATTTGTATTTTCAAAAGAACTGAAAGTATTTAAATGCATTACCCAATTAATCATGTTTCTTTAAAACTTTCATTACATTAATATACATTTAAGTAAATGGAAACTCAAAAGATCAAAAAACTTACATTACACTAATATAAATTTAAGTAAATGGAAGATGAAAAGATAAAAAAACTTTTCATTTTCCATAACTTTCTTTTTTTAACAATGAAAACAAAAATCAAAATAAGAACAAAAAAGGACAAACAAACAGTTAATAGAGAAAATATATGGGAAATGAACGGTCTTTGGAGAAGCACTTAGCACCTCACGCCTTCTTCCTCCTTGTGAATCCAGTGAGATGTCCGATTTGCCTTACTCAGAAAATACGGCGACGAAGCAACAGTTCATGAGCTTGGGTGTATTTCATTCAACATTTATCATGTCTCACCTTGCCATGAAATCAACTCCATTAAAGACTTCTTCAGCTCCTAACTTGAATTCAACCACAACGCCTCCAGGAATGGTCCTTCTCCTACCAAAAAACTCCTTGAAAATAATCCTACTGAGTCTGATGCTAAACTTGTACGTGCCTTGTGCAGATTGAGCTCCATAAAGCTGAAACCACTACCTCGAGTCATGTTCGAGATTTAGCACCCTCTTCATGCTCACTAACCGAGGTAACTCTTAAACTCTTCTAACGGTTTATAAAAAAATTGGGGCAACCCCTGTACCTCTGAACTACAAGAAATTAACCATGACTGTTCCTTTTGTTTACTTCTTGAACTTAATTTGGTAGTCTAAACAGATTGTTTTGACCCTTCTTGATTCGTATACTTGGTGTTCCTTGTTTATATATCCAACTGCAGAATATTTTTGCCTTTATTGATAGACCATTAGTATGATTAAAATGAATGGAACATGTACCTGCAATATTAACAATTATGTTAGTTAAATAATTTGCGAGCTTGTTCCCTTCTCGAAATGTATGAACTACTGTCACTGCCTTGTTCTCCATTGCCTTCATAATTTCTCTAATGTCTACAGAATAATCCAAGGCACCTCCCAAATTCCATCCAAAATCTTCTTAATGGTTACCGAATCAGTTTCCATTGTCAGAGGGAGGGGATTGTGACCTAGGCAATACAGTAGACCCCTTTAAATCCTTTTACTTCAGCCTGTAATACAGAACAAAACTCAGTTTTGCAATCTTTAGCATACACCAACTCTCCTTGACCATTTCTGATGCAAAAAGCATTTGAACCTAGGCTAGACTCATCTGAGTTGCATTTGTAGCTTTCCCCTTCAAGACACTTCCACCTTACCACTGTATTGTTTATTAGTGGTGTGTAGTTTTTCAGAAATTCAAGTATTAGGCATTTCTGCTAACCAAGAATATCTTGATTTTGCCATCAGATGTATATTTCTATTAATCTCCAGTACCATAGTCTGTTTGCGGTCATGTTTTCCCATGTAAAATTATATTTCTCCTTTTCCATAATTGCCAGATGATAAAACTTGGTACTGCCCTACACAAAGGTTTCAACTTAGTTGCACAATCTTCTTCCCACCACTTATAGATAGCTTGTTCCAGCTGAATGAATGGACCTTGCATTCCAATAGCCCCTGCAAACAACTTCCAGAGATATGTAGCATCCGGACATAGTACAAATAAATGATTAAATGATTCCGGAGTATTAGTGTCACAACAACAACACTTTATGTGATCAACTATCATGCTTCTAACCAGGACTTCTCCAATTGAAATCCTTTGAAACCATATCCTCCACGTAAGAAAGGAAAACTTGAAAGGCAAACACTTCTCTCATATAAACATTATATCCTTGTGAGGATCCTGCCTGCTTCGGATAATTTCAAAATCACTCCCTACAGAAAAAATTTCTTTGTTGCTAGGCATCCACCATTGTTTGTCTTTTTTGTCTGTCTACTGAAGTGTACCCATGACTTGATTCACATGATCACAAATACTTTAATCAAAAGGTCAGTCAACAATTTATTATCCCACCGTTCATCCACTCTTAGTTGATTAACTTCTTCAAAATTCTCATCAATAACATGATCAACAGGCATGATGTAATGTGAGGATCCAAGTTGTGTCCAATTGTCATACCATAAGCTAGCATGACCACATCTAGGTTCGCACCATATTTCTTGATCAAAGCAATCTCTAGCCATTAACATCATCTTCCAAACTTGAGATCCTCCCCTCCATTCCACCAGTTGAGGTCTATATCTCTTGCAGTACTTGTTCCACATAAAGTGAGACCATAAAGAGCCTTTAGTTCTAAAGTTTCACCAAAGCTTTGCGAACATAGCTTTGGACACATCAAAGAGGGATCTAAAGCCAAGACCCCTCTCCTCTTTAGGAAGACAAGTGTCATCCCAGGCTATCCAGTGCTTTACCCTACCATTTTCTTTGAGATTCCATAAGAACCTTGCAAAGATTTTATGAAGGTCCTTGATTACACATTTTGGTGGTACTAGGACCGATAGCAAATATATTGGTATACTTTGCAACACATGTTTGATCAATACCACCTTACCACCAAAAAATGTTACTTGCCTTTCCAGACTTGCAACTTATTCTGAATCTTTTTAATCAATTCATTAAAGTGTGATTTCTTCATCTTTGCATGGCTGATAAGGCACCCTAAATAGATTATTGGAGAAGTACCTCTCACAAAATTAGTAACTTCCTTCATTTCTCTTATAAGAGCATTACTGGCCTTACTGAACATGTAGAGGTGACTTTTTTCCTTATTGACCTTTTGCCCTGATTGATTTTCATAATCTTTCAGGGTATTCATGATAAGAGCAATTGATTTCCTATCTGTAGCAGCAAATATGATGGTATCATCTGCATAAACGAGATGATTTAGCTTCTCACTCCACTTTGGCATCACATATCCTCTAAAATCAGTGTTCAGGAACAATTGGTTTAGGGCTCTTGAGAGCACCTCTGCTGTGATGATAAATAATGCAGGGGATAAAAGATCCCCCTGCTTCACCCCTCTGGTAGAGTGAAAGAAATCATATGTTTGCCCATTAATTAGTACAGAGTACCAGTTGTTGGCAATCAATCTCCAAATCATGTCAACCAACACTGTGTTAAAGCCCATGTGTTCCAACACTTTCACTAAGAAACTCCAATTCACCCTATCATAAGCCTTAGTCATGTCTAATTTTATCACAATATTTGCTGGTTTTCCCCTCTTTCTTATATCTGTAATAATTTCCTGAGCCAGTAATACATTTTCAGAAATGCTTCTAAAACTTCACAAAACCAGACTGATTCACAGACATTAGTCTTGGTAGCAAACCCTCCAGTCTATCATGAATAGTTCTAGAAATCACCTTATTAATGAAATTACTGAGACTAATTGGTCTTATGTCTAAGAAGGTTTGAATAATCTCTTTCTTAGGCAATAATACCAAATTAGTGTGAGTAATGGATTTGGGAAGGGTATTCTCCAGAAAGAAAGCTTGCACAATACCCACAATATCAGCCCCAACAATATCCCAACAGACCTGAAAAAAATGCCCTGTAAAACCATCAGTGCCACAGGAAATCTCCCCATTAAGCTAAAAAACCACCCTTTTAATTTCAGTTTCTTCAGGAATTGCAATCAACAATTCATTGTCCTCTGAAGTCACCAGTGGTTGAATATTCTGTAATAAAGAAAAATTATTATCTAAATTACATCCAGCAAATTGATTCTGGAAGAAACTCAAAGCTTCAGCCGCCACTTCATTATCTCTTTCTACCCATTGGCCATCTGCCTTCATAATTCTCTGTACATTTAATCTTCTCCTCCTTCCTCTTACCAAGCCATGAAAAAATTTGGTATTTTTATCCCCCTCCGAGAACCAGTGGATGCTTGCCTTTTGCCTCCAAAACTCCTCCTCATAATGTAGGTAGAATTTGTATTTAGCATAAGCTTGTTGTAGCACAACTCTATTAGTTATGGAAGGATCTTGTTCAAATAATTCTTCTTTCAACTTAACTATTTCCTCTCTGATCAGAAGTTGTTTGAAAATGTCTCCAAACTGCTCCCTACTCCATTTAGACAGAGCCAGTTTTGTCTTCTTCAACTTCAACTTCCATTGTAAGAAATCATCATTAGAGTAGTCTCCACTCCAGCTAGCCTTAACCACCTCCTTAAAATCTGCCCTGTCAATCCAAAAATTTAGAAATCTAAATGGTTTCTTAAAATTTTGAGATGGACCTCCACAAGTTAGTAATAAAGGTGCATGATCAGATCCAGTCCTTGCTAAATGTTGAAGCCCCAAGTTGCCAAAAGAGATCCTACAACTCTTGATTAATCAGTATTCTATCTAACCTTTTGAAAATACATTCTTCATCAACTCTTCCATTCCACCAAGTAAACGGACTACTAGAAAAATTTATATCAAATAGACCACATGAGTTAACACAGAAAGCAAAATCCTCATATCCTTGAATGTACACAGACAGACCTCCAATCTTTTCATCTTCTCCCATTATGACATTGAAGTCTCCCCCAACCAACCAAGGTCCTGAGTAATTATCACTAATAAAGTACAATCATTCCAAAGTTATATTCTCTCCTCTGCAGAACATTTGGCATATACCATAGAAGTAATAATTTGTTTTCCATCTTCCAAGGTAAGCTGGAGAGTGATTCGTTGAGTAGTGTCTAAGATCACCCCAACCTGGATATTTTTCCTTCAAATTATAATTTTATATTCATTTAATAATGAATTTGCATTTTTCTTCCGCTATGACATTTTTTAAATATATTTTTTTCAACTCAACTGAGTAGATTAAAAATTCTTGCAAAAGAATAGTCCTATCAAGCAGCTCTCTACAAAAGCTTGCACTGTGTGAACCCTTCTTCATTATTCAGATTTTCATTTTTTTTTGTGGGGGAGGGAGTTAATTACAAAAACTCAAAATAGTTTTATATGAATTGTAAATATATTTTAACATAATTTGATTTGTCACTTTTTAATCATTTCTTCTGTTAACGATTTATAATTATATGTAATAATAAGTTGAAATAAAAAATGTGATGTGACACTTATCTTAGTCTAATATTAATATTTAATAATTTTTATCAATTATTTTGACATATTTTTATTAAAATAATTGCTCAAGAATGAAGTTATTCTTTCAAAAAAAATATGTCTCGATATTTATTTTTAATTTTTGATATTTTTTCTAATTTTAAAAGACTGAAAATGTACCTCAAAATTTATAAAATATTTAAATTAAATGATCATATTTAATTCCTACCATCATTACTACTTTTAATTTCTTTTACTTTCATTTCCTTAATCTCATCATTAATGTTATTGATATTATTTCCTTAAATCACTTTTTTCCTTTTTTTTGTTTTTGTTTATTATTTATTTATCCTAGAAATAAGTTATTATCACTTAATAAGAATTTAAATACAAATTTTACAGAATTTGAGTTGCTTCATTTTATTTTTATTTTTTTAATAATAATAATAATAATAATTCCTCAAAAAACGAAGCTACTCTTCAAAAAAAAAATTGTCTCACTTTTATTTTATTTTTGATATTATTTCTGATTATAATAGACTTGAAATTTTATCTTAAAATTTTGTAAAATATAAAAAGTACCATATTTAATTCTTACCATCATTACTACTTTTAATTTCTTTTACTTCATTTCTTTAATCTCATCATTAATGCTATTGATATTATTTCCTTAAATCATTTTTTTTTTTCCTTTCTTTGTTTTTGTTAATTATTTATTCATCCTAGAAATAAGTTATTATCACTTAATAAGAATTGAAATACAAATTTTACAGTGTTTGATTTGCCTCTTTTTTATTTTAATTTTTTGAATAATAATAATAATAATAATAATAATAATAATAATAATAATAATAATTCCTCAAAAATGAAGCTATTCTTCAAAACAAATTATGCCTCATTTTTATTTTATTTTTGACATTATTTCTGATTTTAATAGACTGAAAATTTTATCTTAAAATTTTATAAAATATAAAAAAAAATGACCATATTTAATTCATACACCATGAGCTATAAATTTCTTTTACTTTCTTATCTTAATCTCATCATTAATGTTATTTATATTATTTCTTTAAATCAATAAAAATGTGATGTGACACTTATCTTAGTCTAATATTAATATTTATTATTTTTTATCAATTATTTTGACATATTTTTTTATATATTTTTATTAAATTAATTGCTCAAAAATGAAGTTATTCTTCCAAAAAAATATGTCTCGATATTTGTTTTTAATTTTTGATATCTTTTCTAATTTTAAAAGACTGGAAATGTACCTTAAAATTTATAAAATATTTAAATTAAATGATCATATTTAATTCCTATCATCATTACTAGTTTACTACTTTTAATTTCTTTTACTCCATTTCCTTATTCTCATCATTAATGTTATTGTTATTATTTCCTTAAATCACTTTTTTTCCTTTCTTTGTTTTTGTTTATTATTTATTTATCCTAGAAATAAGTTATTATCACTTAATAAGAATTTAAATACAAATTTTACAGAATTTGATTTGTCTCTTTTTTTTTCTTTTTTTTTAATAATATTAATAATAATTCCTCAAAAAACGAAGCTACTCTTCAAAATAATAAATTGTGCCTCACTTTTATTTTATTTTTGATATTATTTCTGATTTTAATAGACTTGAAATTTTATATTAAAATTTTATAAAATATAGAAAATGATTATATTTAATTCCTACCATCATTACTACTTTTAAATTTTTTTACTTCATTTCCTTAATCTCATCATTAATGTTATTGATATTATTTCCTTAGATCAATTTTTCCTTTCTTTGTTTTTGTTTATTATTTATTTATCCTAGAAATAAGTTATTATCACTTAATAAGAATTGAAATACAAATTTTACAGTATTTGATTTACCTTTCTTTTTTTTTTTGAATAATAATAATAAATAATAATAATAATAATAATAATAATAATAATAATAATGATGATAATTCCTCAAAAACGAAGCTACTCTTCAAAAAAAAAAATCATGCCTCACTTTTATTTTATATTTGACATTATTTCTAATTTTAATAGACTGAAAATTTTATCTTAAAATTTTATAATATATATAAAAAAAAATGACCATATTTAATTCATATCACCATCACCTATAAATTTCTTTTACTTTCTTATCTTAATATCATTATTTATGTTATTTATATTATTTCTTTAAATCACTTATTTTCCATATTTTGTTATTTTTCTTTCCTTTTATTTATGTATTCTTAGAAATAAGTGATTATAATTTAGTAGGAACAGCAATTTTTTTAACATAATTAGATTTTCTTTTTTTAAAAAAATAAAATTGATCAATACTTATATATTATAATAATAATAATAATAATAATATAATATAACAATTGTAATAAAGCTGAAATAAAAAAGTGATGTGACACTCTTCTGAGTCCAACATTGATATTATTTTTTTTTTGATAATTTCTCTTATATGTTTCTTAAACTAGTTGTACAAAAAATAAAGTTAATCTATCAATTTTTCAAAAATAATTATTTACATTTAATATTGTTCAATTAAAAGGGTGAATATATCGAGAGAGACCAAGCAAGATATTTATCTAATTTCTCAGTTTTTAAAGTTTTTTCTTGCATTATAAAAAGTTTGTTGAATCTTAGATATAAAAAAAAACGACATTACAATTTCAGTATTTAAGGCTATAACTATGACACAATTCCAAATATTTAATGCTATAATTGTTTCTGCCTCATATGCATCATTCTCTCCATAATTGCATCATTAAAGGGAGGAACCATTACTAATTTAAAAATTTAACAGTCATGTTACTTAGTGTGTGTTTGGAGTGGGTATTTGAATTAACTTATTTTAAGTTCTTTTAGCTTTTAATTTATTTTTTTTATTTTGAAAATGTTTGTGAAATACAAAAACACGCTTAACTGAAATAAAATTAAAATATAAATCAAAAGCCAAAAATTAAGGTTTTCCAACTTTTGCCTTTCATTTATAAATCACTTACAAAAATCTATCTAAACACTCCCTTAAACTTAAAAGTCCAGACCCTGTGTTGAAAATAAGAGAACAACATTTGAAAATTATATAAAAGTTCTATAATTTTTAATGGTTATTATGGTGCCATATTCTTTCCCAATATTTATATTTCTTTTTTATTATTTAAATTATGTCCTTACTTTCTTTGTTTTTACTATTGATTTTGAATTGCGTGTAATGGTGATTTTTCATGGGTTACATAGCGTTTAAAACGAAATTCAATCGATTGACGTGATAGTAACAAGGGGAAGAAAGAACGTAACGAGTAAAGATGATACAAAATATTATTCTGACAAAATTCTTTATTCAAGATGTAATTTGAATAAGCAAAGTCCATTCACAATTTCAACATCCCTAATATAACTTTTTTCACCTTTTAAGTAGATGTTCGGACATAGATTCTTTTAAAATAATGTTATTTGATTTTTAGGAAGATTGAGACGTGTTTTATTATACTTATTGGAAATAATATTTGAAATTTACTTAATTAAATATAACTTTAAAAGTGAAAAGTGGAATGAAAAAATAATTTCAAACTTGAAACACAACTTCAAGTTGGAAAGTTGTATTTGAAATTTTTATTATCATATATCGATTTTTAAATAAAATAAAAAGTTATTCCAATTCAAATATTAATAATAATGTATTTCGTGTATCATTCATCTCTGTAAATTTATAAGTTTAGCTAAAGAAAAAAAAAAATTATAGTAACTTTTTTTTATCTTATAGAAGTATGAAATATGGTAGCATTGTCATTTAGGTGCTCCAATGTTCTAATTATGATTATATATAATTGAGAGTTAATATTAAGCTTTACAATATCTGTCTGTGGATAATTAAGAAAATAATATTCATATGTCAAAATTATAAAGAAGATTACTATGATCAACTATATATTTTATCTTCTATTTTATTTTTAAATTAACTACATGTCAAGGAATTGAAATTAATATTATATCTAATTTTGTTTCTTTTGTTTTCAAAAGTTAATTAGAATAAAAAGAAGATTAATTTGATATTGGTCATCAATTGTACTATTTCATTGAACTCATCATTTTAAATAAATTAATCTTGATCAAATTTAAAATGTATAACATGTCCTTAGTAAAAAATGAAAAGTCAATATCACAAAATAGGATCATGGTCCTATTTTATTTTATTTTTTGATCGGGCAAATCTAAATCAAAATGCTAATATTTTTTTCCTGATTAGTTTTTAATGGTGTTTCAACTTAACTTGATAATTCATTTTTTACTTTGGTATCATTTGTTAATATGTAAAAAAAATTGCGGCTCAAAGCAAATTAAATTCTCTCATTTGTTTCAATTTGATTTATAAAAATTATTTTAAAATTTTACTTATATACCACGTGAAGCGCGGTTGAGTTCACTAGTAATAGTATAAGTGCAAAATAGGCATAGTA